AATCTTAAAGTGGCCAAGGTTGAGGAGCCCTGTCATAGAGCTAGGGTGGATTGTCTGGATTTTTCTGGTCTTGTTGTTTTCTTCCCATCCACTTTGTGTTTGAAGATCTGTCTTCCATGTCAGAAAGTTTCACTTCTCAGTATCACCAGTTTCTTAGTTTAAAATGGATTTGTAAAAGGTGGTAGGAAAGAGCCTCAAAACCCAACATTTTATCAGCACAAGGCTGAACAACCAGCTGGATGGAGCAACTGTTGGCTGACTTAGCAGAGGACAGCTGCCTCGACCTGATGCCTTTCTAATCTATTGGGACTACAACTCCCATTGACCATGTTGGCTGAAAATTTGGGAGGTTCTAGTCCAGAGGGCAGTTGGGTCAAGAAGGCCTAAAGCATACTGAATTTATATGTTCCTACATTTTGGATAATCCATTACATTAAAAATAACAGGATTTTATAGCAGAGTAGCACTTTTATTATCAGAAATAAGAGCCGAGGTGGCGCAGCAGTTAGAGTGCAGTACTGCAGGCCACTTTAGCTGACTGTGTTCAGCGGTTCAAATCTCACCGGCTCAAGGTTGACTCAGCCTTCCATCCTTCCGAGGTAGGTAAAATGAGGACCCAGATTGTTGGGGGCAATGTAAATATATATATACATTGCTTACTAGTGTACACCGCTTAGAGAGTGCTTGCACTTAAAGCGGTATATAAGTCTCATAAATAAATAAATAAATGTTTTATGGCTCATAGTCCATCTCATCAGTTACACAGAGGTGATGGATTGTAAGCCATGACAGTTTATGGGATCATAGTTTTTTGTTAGTTTTTAGGGTATTACAATATTTTTAAGTAATTATGATGATTAGCCAAAATGCCCCATTTTACTTATACTTGATCATGGACTGCACTTTGTTGTTGTTAATTGCGAAGTCGTGTCCAACCCATCGCGACCCCATGGACAACGTTCCCCCAGGTCTTCCTGTCCTCTACCATCTTCTGGAGTCCATTTAAGTTCATACCTACTGCTTCAGTGACTCCATCCACCCACCTTATTCTCTGTCGTCCCCTTCTTCTATTGCCCTCAATTTTTCAAAGCGGGGGGGGGGGGAATCTAATCTTTTCTCAATGTCCATTTCCCATTTTGCAAGTATGAGAGAATAATTAAAATGTGATGTAATCAATAAATTATCCAAGTAGGCCCTTATATAATTCTATGGACTCAACAATGAGAAAAAATCAAAATGTCTAAATAGGTCATGTTTAAAAGAAATATAAAAGTATTTTTAAGGCACTGGCTTAGATATGTTCCTTTTTCAACATGGCGTTTTGTTTTTTCTATTTTTTTTTTGTTATTTTTCCCACCTTTTTTCTACATACAGTAGAGTTGCTTGCAAACCCTTTGGTGCAGAGTTTGCTATTGCATGAGCAGAGTTATACAAGATGTTAATCCATGATTAATTGTACATAGTTTAATGAATTAATCCAACTGCCTGGATTAGCATTATATACTGCACCAAAAAGTGATACTATACACCAGGCGTTGCTTTGTGCAAATCCAATTAATGTGTGTGGATATAAGAGAGAGTCCCAAAGGTATATTTTTCAAAAGGCAATAGACTTTGTTTTTCCTTGAAGATATTTTGCTTCCAGTTGATGGAGGATGGGGACTCTTCAAGGAAAAGATAGTTGCCTTTTGAAAAAAGCACCTTTGGGACAACCATGACCTGAATGACTGAGAATCTCTATAGACAAAGAGAAATAGTGCCAAAGGCCCTTAGCAGTTCATTGGCATCCTAACCCATACGGTATTTTTCAAGGAATAAGATCATACCTGGGAGAAACATTGGTTAAGGTTGGGGAGAACAAGAATAGGTTGGAAGAGGGATTCAGTAGAGAGTGGGAAGGATAGGAAAAACATAGTCCTTTATTTAAGCCTCATAATTCTGGCTGAAGGGATCAAACTAGATTGGAAATCTGTGAGAAGAGGGAGGCGGGGATGGAGGAAGGAAAGGAAGGGAGGGAAGGAAGGAAAGAAGGAAAAGAAAAAAGAAAGTAAGAAAGAAAAAGAAAGGAAGGAAGGAAGGAAGGAAGGAAGGAAGGAAGGAAGGAAGGAAGGAAGGAAGGAAGGAAGGAAGGAAGGAAGGAAGGAAGGAAGGATGGTTTCCAATGTTGCCTACCAGCTTCCCACAAAGAAACTCACTGGGGAAGCCAGCAGGAAGTTGGAAGTCTTTCCTGATCCCACTGCGTTTTTTGCCTAGTTATGGTCATTCTGTTTCTCTGCTTAGTGAGGAAACATCTCTAAAACAATGACCCAACATATCACAGGTTTAGTTCTTTATCATTCTGCATTCGCTGGAGTCTGGAAGAGCTTTTCCTATAGGTTATAGCAATTTCTCTACTAATAAGAAGGAATGGCATAGGAAGCCTCTCTATTTTCTTCTGTGTAACAAAACCTCTGTTACACAAATAGTTATCTGTTGTGCCTATGGATGCATGCATTCTTTCTCCAAGGATGATTTGTGTGTATACCTATGTTATTTCCATATGTGTATATGTTAATCATTGCATGTACACATGTGTGCATATAAGTCTGCTCTCCCTTGGTGTTGTCGTTATATAGGTTTCTGTGTGAACACTGAGAAGCACTGGGTGGGTTGCGTATGCACCATTTGAGGGAATTGTGTATTACAAAGAAGAGTGGGAGGACTTAGAACAATTAACAGCATTACACATCCCAGAGGGATGTATGGGGGGTGTTTTTCTGAAATATTTTTCCAGAGCCCCCCTGATGAATGCAGATCATTTTTAAGCTCTATATTTATTTTGTAGTCTTTTCCCACTACATGAAATTTGGTCCCTTATGTTAGGATTATGGAGAGTTTTATTTTGACAGACTGACAAAAGGATAGACAAGCAGCTAGGTAAGTGGACGAGCAGAGACCTGAGCCATTTTACATAATTTCTGTCCAAATTCTGATCAGTTGGAAAGCATAAAAATGATCTTTGGAAGGAAAAGAGGCCATGGATGAGGGAAAATTGCATACAGGAGAATGAATGCTGCAAAAAATGTTGAGAGAAAATTACTGTATTTTGTTATAACAGAATAGCTGAGTAGAATGATGGAAGTCTCAGCCTCCTCTCCCAGAAGACCTCTGGGTGTTCTCACCCTGCCCCTACTTCCAGTTTTGGATTACCGGTGGTCCTCACTTAGTGACCACAGTTGGAACTGGTAACTCCAACACCAAGCCTTGCAATCACTAAGCAGAAAATCGTGTGACTACAACAGACTTATGATAACACTTCCCATAGGGTCATTAATACCATGATTGTTAAACAAAATATCATGTCACAGCATCTTACAATTTTACTTCTCTATTAACTCTGCTTGTTGCAAGCTGGTTGAAAGTACACAAATGGCAATTGTGTGACCACAAGATGCTCAGAAATCATGAATGTACGTGTTTTTTTTACACCTTTGTAACTTAGAATGGTTGCTAAACAAGGCAGTTGCTAAGCAAGAATTACCTGTAGTAGTGCAGTAATTCTTACTATGGGAGTGTGTGTGTGTGCCTTACCTGACATTTTCACCCTAATTTAAAAATGTAAGACAAATAGAGTTCTTATTACTCATGTTGCTAGTGATTAAAGGCTTTTTATGTTAAAAAAAGAAAGAATAATTTTCATAATATCCTGATTATATAATTAAAAGACTAGAGTGTGCAACTTTATCTTGGACTATAACCAGTCTCACAAGAGATAAACAAAATAAAACTTTATTTTAAAAAAAGGTTTTTTTTAAAAAAATCCTTGTTTTAACTTTAAATATCCAATCTGTAATTATTTCATACTGAAGGAGATAATGTTCAACTATATAAAAAAAGTAAAAGTAAAAACATAACATATGCTGTGTTTCCCCCAAAGTTAGACCCAGCCCCATAGTAAGCCCTAGCTTGATTTTTGAGGGGTGGACCTAATATAAGCTCTACTCCAAAACTAACCCCTAGTTTTGGGGCGAGGCGCACCCCTAGAAATCAAGCTAGGGTGGGGGCAGCGGGGTGAAGGTTACCTTATGGTAGGACCACTATAGTCAGGCCTCTCACACGCTGACACCTGTCGTGCTGCTGTTTGACTTCTTCTGCGGCCTCTTGCTGCCACTAGTGGCCGGATGCCATGTGGTGCATTGTGCTGTTGCTGCTCCTCCCGGCAGGACACCACATGGTGCTTCGGGCAGTTTCCATTGTTTGTGTGCTTCAGGCCACTTCTGCTGCTTGTGCAGTGCTTTAGGCCGCTTCTGTTGCTCGCGTGCTTTGGGCTGCTTCTGTTGCTCATGTCAGGAGGCCACGTGGTGCTTTGGGCTGTTTCCGCTGCCACACAGCATCCTGCCATGAGCAGCAGAAATGGCGCAAAGCACCATGCGGTGTCCTGCTAGGAGGAGCAGCCACAGCGCAAGTGGCGGCAAGCAGCCGCAGAAGAAGTCAAGCAGCAGCACGACAAGTGTTGTTGTGTGGGAGGCCTGGCTGTGGTGTTCCCAAGGTAAGACATTCTCCGAAATTAAGACCTAGTGCCTCTTTTGGAAGATATATATATATATATATATATATATATATATATATATATATATATATATATATATATATATATAACCAGCTCTTAATTTCAGAGAAACACGGTAGTAATGGTTTGGGTGTGCCACAAGATGGTGCTACACATAGGATTTCACCTTTCCAATGTCTCAGTAAAGAAACACAACACTTATCACCATCACTATCATCACAAAATGCTTTAAGAGCAGACAGATATTATTATACCCCTGGGATATTCCTGAAGTATGATTCTAATTTACATTAAAAACCCACTTTCTAAATTATACAGGGAATGAAAGAATCTGAAATTTAGCATGAACTAAAGGAACAGAAATTGAAATCCTAACTTACCTTCCTTTTTAGACATGTTATGTATTTCTGTAGAAATAAAACTTTTTAAAATAATATTCCCTTTATTTTTCAGTTTACCCTCTCTAAAGATCCCTGCAATTTTCAGCCATGGATCCAGGGCTGTTTGGGAAAGGATGTACAGGTACTCCTCAACTTACACTTCATTTAGTGACTGCTCGAAGTTACAACAGCACTGAAAAAAGTGACTTATGACCATTTTTCACACTTACGACCCTTGCAGCATCCCCATGATAATGTGATCAAAATTTGGATGCTTGGCAGTTGACTCACATTTATGATGGTTGCAGTGTCCCAGGGTCATGTTAGCACCTTTTATGACTTTCTGATAAGCAAAGTCAGTAGGAAAGCCAAATTCATTTAACAACTGTGTTACTAACTTAACAACTACAGTGATTTTACTTAACAACTGTGGCCAGAAATATCATAAAATGGGGCAAAATTCACTTAACAAACGTCTCACTTAGCAACATAAATTTTGGGCTCAACTGTGGTCTTAAGTCAAGGACCTCCATCCCCCTTTAAAAGCAAAGATTGGGGGATTCTGTCCTTATGTGACCAACAGCAATTCCTCCTCGTGGAAAAGCTGATTCTTGGTCTGCCTTCTGTCTGAGAGGTTGTACAGAATATATTGGGGATGCCTGAACTGGCCAAAGAACCTCAATCACATTGCTGCACAAATGTGAAAATATAATTGCAAAGAAAGAGGTCATAAAGAGTAAAGAACTCTTTAAGATTCAAGAAGCAATGAAAATGCAGTGTAGAAAACCATGCAAATGCCCTTAAGGGAAACATTCAGAATCCATTACAGTGATAACAAGAGCAGAAGCATCACTTTAAACCTTAGGAAAAGTGATAGTATTAGCAAAAAGAATTTTAGACCAACCTGCCTAATGTTATCTAAGTTGTTGGCTTTTACTGTCATTCTTGAGTTTCTGAATTCTTTGCGTGCCCATTTGATGAGAATTCCCCGCCTTAGCGTTTGGAGAGGGTGAACAGTCCTCCGTGTGTTTTCTTTATGCCGCATACAAAAGTAGTCCTTGACTTATAACTACAACTCAACCCTGAATTTCCACTGCTAAGCAAGACGGTTGGTAAGTGAGTTTTGCCTCATTTTAGGACCTTTTGTGCTATAGTTGTTAAGCAACTCATTGCAGTTGCTAAGTAAATGATGTGGTTAATTAAGCAAATCTGGCTTGGCCCATTGAGTTTGCTTGTTGGAAGCCAGCTGGGAAGGTTATAAATGGTGATCCCATGTCACCCCAGGACAGTGCAATTGTCATAAATACATGCTGGTTGCCCAGCACCCAAATTTTGATCACGTGACCATGGGAATGCTGCAACAGTCATGTGACAACTCATAAGTCACTTTTTTCAGTGCCATTCAAACAGTCACAGTTATAAGTGGAGGACCACTTATATACTTTGGCATATTTCAGTTTTTTTGAGGGGTTCTTGGTACTATCTGAACTTACAGACCTTTCATTAGGTAACATCACAGAGAGCACCAAGGACCCCTCATTTCAAATCCTGAACTACAAATATTCTCCTTTATTGGTTTCAATTTTTTATTGGGGTTTTTTTTTCCTCCCTAAATTAAACAGCTAAATGTTTTAGACTCTCCTGAGAAATGCTTGGAAAGCACTGCTTCAATACCTCTTTATCTAGTATTATCCAGGTATTTTTAGGCAAAAAAATTGTGTTATAAAATTTCAGTTCTCCTGCCATCTGTTGTCCTTCGTTCCTGCTGAGCCTCAAGGCATAGCAAGCTGTCCACATGATGATGCCTTGATGTCCACATGCAGGGATATCTGTGCATGCTTGCAAAAAGGCGTGATCGTAGCCATTTGCCCTGTACTGGATACAGGACTGCTAAGGAGCAAAGAAATCTCCAAGCCAGTTACTTGGACCTTTTATCAAGGAGTTTGCTAGAGCTAATACAGGTAGTCCTCAACTTACAACAGTTCGTTTATTGACTGTTCAAAATTACAACAGCACTGAAAAAAATGTTGTAACTTTGTAACTTCGTTGTAACTTCGAACAGTTTGTTTTTCACACTGATCACCTGATCAACATTCAGATGCTTGGAAAACGATTCGTATTTATGACCTGGAGTTACGTGATCCCCTTTTGGGACCTTCTGACAAAGTCAATGGGGAAGCCAGATTCGCTCAACAGTCATGTTACTTATTTAGCAACTGCAGTGATTCACTTAATAACTGAGTCAAGAAAGGTTGTAAAATGGGGCAAAAGTCACTTGACAATTGTCTCGATTAGCAACAGAAACCTGGGGCTCAGTTGTGATTGTAAGTTGAGGACTGCCTGTAACAGATGCCAACTTAGAGCAGTGATCTTTCAAAAAGAGGCATTAAATCAGCAGTCCCCAACCTTTGTGGCTTGGTGGCCCAGCTGGGGGGGGAGAGAGAGAGGGGAACCAGGCTGTGTCAACCCACCACACACACACACACTGAGCTGTGCATGTGTGTGTGCACCAGCCCATTGCTCATGCGGCCTGGTACCAAATAGACCACAGCCTGGTAATGGACCAGTAGTGGGCTACAGCCCAGGGATTGGGGATCCCTACATTAGATAATAGAGACAGGAAGAGCTGATGGCAACATAAGACCCAGTTTACCATCAGAGGCAATGATACAGTTATCTGAAAGGGGACACAAATACATTATTTTGCATATTCTCATTGTTGTTTTAATGAGCATGGTTAAGATGCTGGAGTAACACAAGGATGTTGTAGTTCTGAGAACCTTTTGCATGGAAGCCAGCTGGATGATCTTGGATCAGTCCCTCTCCACCTTTATCAACCATCTATTTTTGTTGCATCTTGCCTTAATATAGCTCAGGGGTAGGCAATCTTGGCTCTTTTATGACTCGTGGACTTCAACTCCCAGAATTCCTGAGCCAATCATGCTGGCTCAGGAATGCTGGGAGTTGGTCCACGAGTCATAAAAGAGCCAAGGTTGCCTACCTATAGCTAGTCCTTAACTTCCAACCACTCATTTAGTGACCAAAGTTACAACAGCTCTGACAAAAGTGATTTACAACTGCACTTATGACCATCATAGCATCTCCACGGTCATGTGATTAAAATTTGGGTACTTGGCAACCATCATGTACTTCTGACCGTTGCAGCATCCCAGGTTCCTGTGATTGCCGTTTTTGACTTTCCCAGCCAACCTCTTGCAAGCGATGTCAGTGGGGGAAGCCAGATTCACTTAATGACCACAGGATTAACTTTTAACAGCAGCAGTGATTCACTTAACGACTGTGGAAAAAACACCATAAAGTCAGGTTCAACTCATTTAACAATTGTCTTCCTTAGCAGTGGAAATTGTGATCATAAGTTGAGGACTACCTGTACTTCACTGTGAGAATTTGAAGTGAGCCCAGTGCAAAACAATTGGGGCAAACACGGTAATTGGGACATTATCCTGGTTACTTCAATCCTATGAAATGCTTATGGGTTTTTAATCTCAAGTGCCAAAGTAAGTTGACTGCCCTTAGAAGCCATACATTCTGGTCCCATTTTGTGTGATCTGCAGTTTTGCCTTTGGGAGCAAAACATCCTGGATTGGCCCTGGCATATGGAGTTTGTCCCCACTTCGGAGTAAGGATACCCTGGCATCCCCTGAACATTATTCCTGATGTTGTGGAATAACAGTTCTGCACCCATTGAACAGAGGCAGCCAAGGGAAAAGGGGAAAAGTTTATTCTGCAATCATGGCTGGACCAGTTCCCTAGGAACATATACCTGCATTTCAGTTATTATAGATCTTATAACCCTGCATAGCACAATGTGCCTATTTCTCATTGATTTAATTATGCTTTTGGTTAGAGCTCACATTTTTTGCACATGCAAGGGTGCTTTGTTTCCTTTAGGGTCTTTTAAAAGGCTGACTAGTCCCTTCCCCCTTAGGAATATTCTGATTTGTGTCCTGATTTATAACCATGTTTCCTTGCATGGTATCTGACCTGTCGGTTTAGTGATAATAAAGACCTTTAATTTGTCCCTATCTGGCAAATAAGAAGCGTGAGAGAAACACTGAATATCCCAAATCTAGCATGGATTAGGGACATCTCATTAAGCTGCTAGTCCAACTTGAAGATGCTGGAAGTCCAGAGTTGCTCTTTGCCTTTGGTGTGCCAGGCCTGGGAGTTTTCTGCAGAGCAGGAACCATAGCATCTCTGCCTGCCTCTCCCACTCCTATCAGCACCAAATTGTCTGCTCAATAAATAATGTGTTTCGAAGTGGAGTCTTTGAAGGAGACGTGCACAATGACACTGAGCAAAAGGGAGCAGGGCTATTAGAGGAGAGGGAGAAAGAAAGCTATTCAGCACTTTGTGCTGAGATGCTGAGTTCAGTGTTATCTGACGCTGCCCTCTGCCTCTCCTTTGATCTTCTATCCAAACAGGGATGGTCCAGAGTTCCTTCAGAATGGCATCTGGGCCTGCTCCTTTGAGGATGAGCAGAAACAAGATGGGGCAAGGGATGATGGTCCTCAGTAATGCCTAGCAGCAGATGAGATTTTGCATGATGTAATAGAATAACAGAGTTGGAAGGGACCTTGGAGGCCTTCTAGTCCAACTCCCTGCTCAAGCAGGAGACCCAAAACATTTCAGACAAATAGCTGTCCAATCGTTCTTAAAAGTCTCCAGTGACAGAGCACCCACAACTTCTGAAAGCAAGCTGTTGCACTGGTTAATTGTTCTCACTGTTACGGGTAGGAAATTTCCCCTTAGTTCTAGGTTGGGGTCCTCAACCCCCCATCCTGGGACCAGCACCAGTCCATGGCATGCCAGAAACTGGTCCGCGCAAACAAGTGAAGCCCCGTCCGTGGGATGCTGGCAGCACATGAAACCACGCCCCCTCTGGTCCACAGAAAAACCTCTCTCCATGAAACCAGTCCCTGGTGCCCAAAAGGTAACAACAACAACAACAATAAAAGGAAGGGACCTTGTCATCTGCTCAGGCAGGAAACCCTATATCATTTCAGACAAATAGCTGTTCAGTCTCTTCTTCAAAACTTCCAGTGTTGGAAGTATTCACTGCTTCTGGAGGCAGGTTGTTCCACTGATTAATTGTTCTAACTGTCAGGAAGTTTCTTCTTA